TTATGTCAAACTAAGCCTTAGTTCAAAATTTTTTTTTTTATCTAAAGATTAATTAAATAAGAACCTAATCACATACATTAATAACAAAATTTATGTAATTCATCCCAAATTATAGCTGGGATTTCATTATAACATGAAAGAATGACGCTCCACTTATAAATAAATAATATTAAAAAACATATATAGCATAATTATGAAATATCAAAAATATCTTTATTTTAAAATTCACGTTGGGACAAGTCTTCCTAATCTCTCCCCACCTTCAGGTGCAACCCCTATCAGCATATTAGGAAATTAGATCTACAATTAAATATTTAATTTTTAGTATTTATCAAGGTTCACACTTCCCTAATGGATAGATACTCATTTTGTTGAGAAGGGATGAAATAACTTACCTGGAGACAATATTTTTATAAATAAAAAAAAAATTAAAAATTTCTCTCAAAAATAAGTTATTTCGAAAGTATATTCCTTAAACAACTTATTCCACTTAATTCTATCCATAAATCAAACCTTACTTAAGTGTTTATGTGCATGCAATCTTATTTTAGCTTGAGCAAGAAAATAATCTCAAAATAAATTAATAAATAAGGATTTGTTTCGCTTTCAGAGATCGGTGGACATTGATGTTCACTCGACAGTCTCCATATTTTAGGTAAGAACTAGAGGAGAGGCAAGTCCTTTTTTTTAAAATTTTGTATGACTTTTTTGACCGTTGGGACAATGGGGGACACAGCCTTTCCCCATTTTTTCAAGAACATTTAACAACCTACTCTTGTCCATTTATTATTTAATAAATAATAATTGAAAATTTTATATTTTATTTTTAATTAACAGATGATCTCAAGACAATTGTTAAATGGTGGTTTGGGGCCCTTAAGTAACCCCGCGTCAAATATATCAGTACCAAAGTGATTTTGATTCATAGTTTTTTTCCAATATTAAATAGGGATAGAAAGTGAAGACCATGTGGACCATTCATTTTGTCAAGGCTTAGAGCAATTCTAACGGTGAATAGATAAAATAAATAGTTAAAGTTATAATTTAGTAATGAATAATGTAAAATAGTTATCGGATAACAATGTTGCCTCAACGGTGGTCAAATTGCTATTTTGTAGCAATTCCTACTTTGAGTAATGTTACATTTACCACCCTTTTATACCACCTTCAATGTACTGCCTCATATATTAACACATCATTTGATATAAACATGAGTGGTATGAAAAAATGACAAGTGTAGCATATTGTTCCAACTTTCCCTCCATTTGACAAGCACACTAGAATGCATCACAACACAATTTTGCAAGCCCAGTCGATGCACAGGTTGTTGGAAATAGGGGTGAGCATGGTCCGGATTGGACCGGATTGGGATAAAACTAGGACCAATCCGCTATCTACGGTTCCTGAAAAATTGAAACTAATCCAATCCGTTTAAATCATGGAACCAATCCGAACCAATCCATTTAAACACGGATTGGATCGGTTTAGGACCACGGATTCACATAATTAAACAACAAAAAAATATATATATAACACTTTAATTTCATAAAAACATAAACATAGTGCTATATTAGTTCCACAATAGCAACATGTTTTTCTATAATAGCAAAATAATGTTCTAAAATTTAAACAACAATAAGAGAACTGTAATATTTTCTTTAACTTCGTTGTATTTGACTGGCATTTGGTGAATAGGCATAGAAGTTACCACCATTAAAAAAACAACAATGATAGAGACCACTAATTTTAGAGCTCTAAAAAGATCACTAATGACATGGCACTCAATAAAAAAAGAAAAAAAAATACAACACCAAGGCCAAAATATCAAATCATTCCTGGTGGGACCCACTGCCATATCATTAGTGATAGCACTAATTAGTGCTCTCACTCATTTTCCTTAAAAAAATGATTCTATACAAAAAGGAAACTTTTCAATACACACTTTAATTTTATTGATTTATCACAAGTACATTTTTCAAACCAAAGTTGATTTTTCATAAAAACTTGAAAAGAAAAGACAAAGCAATAAACTAGGGGCATAGATGAGCATGCTAAATAAATACAGATATATATATATATATATATAATAAGGGTAAATTACACTTTAACCCCTTGTGGTTTGTCCCAAAAATACGGAACCTCTTTGTAGTTTCATTTGTAACATTTAAACCCCTAAACTAAATACCAAATTGTAATTTTTGACAGATCCGTTTATTTAACCAGAGCGTGAGATTCACAAGCATAAAAGTGTAAGCAGCACTCTCTCTTGTCAAAAACAATACACTTTTGGACCAAAACACCATTTCTCTCCCCCCTCATTATATAAATATGCAACAAACACATTGAGGCCTCTGAAATTGCCCAGATTATCTCAGGAATTCTTCCTCACCACACAGCAAAACTAACCTGTAATTCCACACCACCATCCACCCTCCATCTCCTTCTCATTTCCTTGAAATAGTTTTTACCTCACAATTTCATATTTTTTTGGTTTGAGGTGTTGTATGTAGGTGGCTGCTTAAACTAGGACAGCCATGGCTACTTTCATAAAAAGGGAAAAAAAAAAAAAAAGTGAGGAAGAGGGTTAAAAAAAACTTAATGGTGAGTGCTGAAAGTTCATGTTACAAAAACTTGTCGTTGGTGTTGGTGGTCTCAACGCGCATGGTGGTGGTTGTGTTTGAGCTTAGTCCAGTCTGGTTTCTTGGCTAGTTAAGCTTACGATGTGTAGCTCATGTTGCAAAGAGTCTCTCTCTCTAGATTTTCTCTCCACGTGAACTTGCCAGAGAAGCACCAAATAACTATCCCACATGTACAGCAGGTGAATGCCTCACAGTGGTGTGTCATTAGTGTATTCTGTGCTGTTAGACATACAGTTGTGTGTGTGTATGTGTGTTATAGTTCACCACTTTCACCCTCATTTTCATAGTGAACACATCAGAAAACCCTCCCTCCCCTCATTTTCTCAATTCCCAATCACACCCAAATCCAAATCCAAATTAAAATCAAAATCGGCAAAAAATGGAAGGTCATCCTAGGAGAGCCGAAGCAGAATGATTACTCGGAATCGTCGAGAAACTCTTGCAAGGCCAAGATTTCAACGGCTCTCGAGACTTCGCGATCTTAGCTCAAGAAACCGAGCCCTTATTAGAAGGTCCTGATCAGATCCTGGCCGTAACCGAAGTCCTCATCGCCGCCTAAAAACGGATCAACAACCACCACGACTGGTACTCCATCCTCCAAGTCGATTTTAGAAGCTTCAATTTGTTGTGTTTGACCAGCCGTCACCGGTGATGAGGTTGTGAGATGGGGATGAGTGTGGTAGTGAAGCTGTAAGCATGGTATCTGGCGTTGAGCAAGAGAGGAAGATGGTCATTTATAGAGAGAGAGATATGGAAATAGAGATACGAAGTGATACAAAAAAAATGACTGAGTGGAAAATATCTAATGGCATTTATGACTTTTTATTACTTCTGTTACGTCCGTCCAAAATTACAATTTAGTAATAAGTTTAGGGGTTTAAGTGTTACAAATGAAACTACAAGGAGGCTCTGTGTTTTTGGGGTAAACTACAGGGGTTTAAAGTGTAATTTACCCATATAATAATGTGTCTCAATGTTGAACTTTTATTTTAAAACAAAATATATAACAGATCTGCTGCAGAGCTCTAATTAGAGCTGCTACAGTGCAGCTCTAATGAGCTGGCCACATATTAAAAAAAAAAAATAGTGAGGTAAAAGACAAAATATGGGGAAGAAAAAAACAAATTAATGCTCCATTAGAGCTCTCTTTTTAGAGGTCTAAATCATTTTTCAATATATAATAATGAAAAAATATTTTGGTACATACTTCTCAAAAGACGTGTATCATATGCACCTTATAATTAGAAAATTATATAATTTTATATTTTCTGAGTCATAACTAAAAAAATATCATAACTAAATACAATATGAGCTATAACTAAAAAATCCATAAATCATAACAAAAATAATGGCATAATTAAAAGAAAAAATAACATAACTAAAAATGATATGATATATGTTAGAATTTCTCATAATAATGCTATTGCCATATCATTTTACTTTTTGGATAAATTTTATGTATTAATAGACTTTTTAAAAAAAATAATAGTAGATTTTTATTTTTTAGATAAATTACAAATATATCTTTTGAAATTTGGTTAAAATATGATTTGTTGTTTGTAATTTTGAAAATTATATTTCACCCATTAAAATTTCTAATTTTATAATAAATAATTTTTTTTATTAATCAATTAAAATCAATTAACAGTTTTTAATGATGTCTTAAATGTATTTTAATTAATAATTTATGATTGTATATGAGAACAGTTAAAATTTTCATTTTTTTTCAATTATTTTCTATTAAATAAAAAAAATATAATAAGAAAGTATTTGTAATTTTCCAAACCACAATGAATAATTCATATTTTAAGCAAATCTCAAACGGTGTATTTATAATTTATCCTACATTTATTTTATTGTACTCACTTTCATATGAAATATACAATCATTTTAAATTTCTTAACATGTTTCTTAATAGCACACATTAACAAAATTATATTTTAAAATACCAATTCATTTTAATCTGCTCAATGCAATAGAAATTGTTCAATATTTTTTTTGAGTAATGCACCATTTCATTTACTCATTGACATTATAAACCTTGTTTCCTAAAATTCTAATACAAAGTGATGACTCATGTACGGGTACGAAATATTCTTCCCGTATAATCCTGTTGATCAAGTCTGCGCTCCTCCGTACGTCGTCGCTTTACTCCCTGAAAATACAAACGTGAGCTAGCCGGCGGGTGTGTGCCGGAAACCTCTCCGATGCCTAAGTCAGCAAAATAGACAAATAGACAAAAAGCTCTGTATAAGGAATCATTTTTTCCCCCCTTTAGATCCAGATCCAAATCAACTAGAAAAAAAAAAAAAAAGGTAGAGAAAGCAGAGGCCATCGGCGATCAAAATTTTTTTTGCAAATCATCATCATCTTCATCTTCATCTTCATCTTCGTCATCATCATTCAACAGCGATTTTCATGGCCGTAGATTTCTTGTTCAAGAGCTTGAGGGCATCCCTAAGAAAGGGAATATCAAATCTTGTTCCTTTTCTCTTAATGCACAGGTCTGTACTTCCTCCAATCTCTCCTCTGACCTTATTGTTCCAAAGTTTTTCTTTTCTTTTCTTTTCTTTTCTTTTCTTCTCTTTTCTTTTAAATCCATGGATCTGGAATAAAGTTCCATTGTTAGTTATGGGGGTAATAGGATTAGCAATTTAAATTCCCTTGCATCGAGATAGGAGTGATTGGAGTAGCAATTTAAATTGGTATAATTTGTATTTGCACAGATGAAGACAGGAATTATTGGGAAAACTCAAAAATGGTGGGAGAAAGGGCTTCAACCCAACATGAAAGAGGTAAAAGGTGCCCAAGACCTTGTGGAGTCGCTCTTCAACGCTGGGGACAAACTGGTCGTTGTTGATTTCTTTTCCCCTGGCTGCGGTGGCTGCAGAGCCCTTCATCCCAAGGTCCCATAATTCCCTTCCTCTCACCTATTATTTACAATTTTCTAATCTCTGACACTATGTTTGTAACCTAGGAGTGAAAAAAGGAAAGAACTAATTGTTTAAGTTATAAAAGAAAAGAAAATAAAAGAAAAAAATGATTATGATTTTCTTCTTGGTTAGATTTTATAAGAGAAAAAAAGAAAATGTTTTATGTTATGTTACCAAAATAATATTAAAGTCTTGAGGACATAGATGTCAATTATTTTATTTTTACAGTGATAAAATTGGTATCACGAAAATATTAGAATCTGTTAGTTTCTTTTTCTGTCCTAATCTCTCCACTTTTAGAAATATTGAAAATAAGAATTATAAGAGAAATATAATGTGTTTAGTTGGGGGATTTGGGGAAGGATTTGAAAAGAGAAAGGGAAAAAGTGTGTGAAATTATGTGAAATACATGTATGTTTTATTCACATTTTACTTACTTTTTTTCATTTTCCTTTCCAAATTCCTACTCAAATCCTCTAGCCAAATACAACAATAGAATTCTCTTCATTTCTCCTCATTTTTCTCCACTTTATCCAACAAGTAAGAGAAATCCATCTCTCTCAATTTCTTTTTTTTACTCTCCAAATCACTCAATCCAAACATAGTGTGAGAAAAGGTCCAGTATATTACAGAGTTCCAGGAAGAATGTAAGAAAAAAAATTCATCATTCTCTAAAACCATACCAAGTAGTAGCATTAGAATGTAAATTTATGTGGTTGGACTCTGCACTGCAGATATGTCAATTGGCAGAGCTGAACCCAGAGGTGCAGTTTCTGCAGGTGAACTATGAGGAACACAAATCCATGTGCTACTCCCTTAATGTCCATGTTCTTCCCTTCTTCCGTTTCTACAGAGGTGCTCACGGTCGTCTCTGCAGCTTTAGCTGCACCAATGCCACAGTTAGTTCTCGTCTTCCTCTCTTCTTTAGCTGCTACACATTTTCCACCCATATTTGAATATAAATTTTGTATTGTTGGGCTGCTTATCATCCCTGGTATTGCAAATTCAAGTCACGCAAACATTCTCTTTAGAAATGGGGATACAACTGTGTTTATCCTACCCTCTCGGACCTTATTTTAGCAGGAGCACCATGCACTAGGTTGCCCTTTGTCTTTGCATATGAATTTTGTATCAGAAAATATGTTGAATGGGGACTTTTTGTGTTGGTAACTAATTGGTAACTGGAACAACCCTTGTTTCCTACTCCCTCGTTCCTCTAACTTAAGATTTTTCTTTCCTCACAACCCTGTTTCACTGCGCTATTTATAACTGGATTTAACTGAGTATGCTATGCATTGCCCCCTTCTTCTTCTTCTCTTTTTTATGAAGGTTTTCGTATTTAAGGAGCTTTAAGTTGGTACAAATTCGAGGTTTCTTTTTTCTCCAAAAAGACCAGTTGTTATTAGCCAGTCGATGTCCTGCCTTGTCCTTGATTCACAATCATCTACCTGCAAACAATAAGGTCCGAGCAGTAGGGTTTTTGTTTTTGTTTTTGTTTTTTTAATTTCTGCTAAAATAATTATGTTTTAAAATAACATTTTATATATTTAATTTTATTAGTGCATTCTAAAGCATTGCAATGATGATGGATGGTATCACAGATCAAGAAGTTCAAAGATGCATTGGCAAAGCACAGCCAGAATTATTGCAGCCTGGGACCACCAAAAGGGCTAGAGAAGAAAGAGCTGATTGCTCTTGCTGCCAACAAAGATATCTCCTTCAACTACACACCAAAGCCAGAGCAACCAACACTTGTTCCTCCTACACTGGAAGAGATTCTAGCAGAAACAGCACCAACCCCGCCTTCTCATTCAGAGGCAGAACCTTCAGTATCTCCACCTCTTCCTCTTCCTCTTCCTCTTCCTCTTCCATTGGCAACTGGTTCAAATGCAGCTAAAGGCACTGAGGATAAAACCTTGGTCGCATCAGGAAGGTGATTGAGAAGGATGAGGACTTTTTTCAGCGGAGCTAGGCATTGTCTTGCCATTTCCTCTTGTACAGATTAGATTTGCTTCGCTTTGTGATGGTGTATAATATGTTTAAGAAGATAGCAAACAAATTACTAATTAAGGATATATGTGAAATGCATGTGTGTTGGCCCTCCCCCATTTAAGTTGAGTGGCTTTTGGATTTATTTTTATTGGATCCAAGCCTGCCAAGTACTGGGAGTGGGGAGGATACTTGTGAAAGAGCTAATGGCTTGTATTGTTTCCTTGGCTGCATCTTTTTTTTTTTTTTTTTTTTCATTTTTATGAAATGTATATATATGTATAGAGAGAGAGTGAGTTTGTATGAAAGGTTTATATAGCCTTTGGGGGTAGAATGCTTGCTTGTTCTTGAGTCTGATGGTTGAGGCTTGTGTAAAATATATCTCACACATACAGCTGTTGCAAATTTTAGTCCAGTGGTATTGATGTTTCTCTTCCATACACTTTTTTTTTTTTTTTTCAGTAATAATAGTATCTTAGTGATAATATAAGGTTTGAAAAACTTTAGAGTTCATTCTACATTAAATTAAACACAGATGGTGATGTAAAAATAAACCGTTATATTGAGAGTGCTGATGGAAAAATTAGTTTTATAAGGTTTTTTTTAGTCAACTTTAAGCCCAAATTCAAGTAGGACTCACACGTATTTTGAGGTGGGTTTGAGTGGTGACATATTCCTTGTCGCATGTTAAGTCACATGTTGAAGTTGGTTCGTCAAAACCATTTATGAATGAATGAAAAGTGGACGTCATTTTCAACTTCGTAAAGTTGGAAGTTAAAGAAACAAATGTAAGTTGCTTTATTTTGAGTTGTTCCACATTGAAACAAGGAGAGAGTTTATACAAATATGTAAACTCTAATTTGGTACACCTTAGATGGCCCCAAGGGACACGCAAGTTTTGTTGGGGGAGAGGGGGGAATTATGGACCGAGCATGCTTTGTATTAAAACACCACACGCGCTGCCAGCTAGGGTTGGATCCTACCTTTAATTTTTTGGACAAAATTTATTTGAATTTTTTCAAATTCTTGCAGAAAATTTTAATTTTCTAAATCAAAGTAATTCAAAAATTTGTGGGAAATTTCAAACTCAAATTTAAAAATTCAAACCCAACCAGTGTGTCCTTCCAATCAGCTTTGTTCTTTTTTTCCGGCGATTCAAACTCGCATTTGTTCAGAAGGTTTTTCTACCATTTCTGTAACAACCCTCATACTGTTTACCGACTTATGACTGATTGATTACCGATAACCATCGATTACCGTTAAACTGAATTGATTATGACTGATAATTGAACTGATTAAAGTACTGAACTGACTGACTGAAATTGGAAACCGAATTGATTGAGTATATGTTAGTTAAATTGCATTCTATCTGTTTGACTGTATGATTATCTGTTCATGCTTATATGTTTAAACTGCTAATTGAAGGCCTTATCGGCGGCCGAATCCGAAACCGATTAGTGTTCTATGATCCTTAGAATTAATGTGATTTTATAGTATAATTATCTGAAAATTGATTAGGTATGATTAAATTAGATTAAATATCGATTAATCGCATAGTTTGATTTAATTACCGTTCCGCCACTTAGTGGACCACTATCTCTTGAACCTTGTATACACTCCACGTATTGATCAAACAAACATTTTCTTCTCCTCTTCTTGCCTCAACCGACCCAAGTTAGAGAGTGAGAGAGAGTTGAAGGCAGTTGTGGCGCACATTTTGGCGGGCGCTCTTTGGCCTATCGAGCTATAACACAGGGGTATTATTGG